AAGGCACGCTCCTGATCCACCTACATCCATTGACTTCCTGCATGTTTTACCAGGTCGGCACACCATCTAGTAGGGAAACGCCCTACACATTGCCTGCTTGCACGAGGCAACCACTCGATAACCTTTCTTCCCCATCGGTTGTTGTTTATTCGTAGTAAAGCTATCCATTGGGTAATGTCAGTTACTCTGGTTCTGCTGCGGAAATCCTCATTTTTAAGATTATCACGCATAGTGTTGCAAGCCATAATTAATGCCAAATGATGTTTGAAATAGATGTTTCAGTGTTTGCTAATTAAAGTGTCAATTTTGGTAATTCAATCGGCAGTTTTTATTGTTACGAACTTTAAGCTCGTAACAATAGAAACCCTGAGTATAGCCATCTCCATAGCTCGCTAAGCGATGTCCATTATGATGACCCCGGCGTCAAAAAAGAATCTGCTGAAATGTGCCCATTGTATATGCTATTACGTGCTGTTTGAAAAAAAAATATTAAAAAAATACAATTTTTATGAGGAGGTCCTTTTTTAAGTTCAGTTGGCTCCTGTACTTTTCCTTATCGAACTTATTGAAACTGTGCCGTAATGTACTTGACATGTGCTGTTATGTGCAAATTTAAAAAATTATAATTTCACAAGTAAAAAACAAATTTGCCTGTTTTTTAGAGTCACTGTAAGAACCTATATTGCATAATAAAAACTCACGCCGTAGAATTATATGTTAACGTGACAGTACATACAAGAAATAACAAAAATTTTAATCATACAAAGAATTCTGTAACAAAAGCCAGCCAGCTTTTAACGAAGCATTGAAAATTTAAACAGGATAAAAAAGATCAAATAATACAATAAATTTTCAAAAAAGAATAGACGTGCAAAAATGTGCCCAGGATGTGCTATTACGTGCACCTTGAAAAAATTAATTAACTAGAGAATTATAATTCCTTTTTTTCAAGTCCAGTAGGCTCTGCGCCTTTAGCTTTATCAAATTTATTGGAATTGTGTCGTAATTTGCTCGAGTTGTGCTGTCATGTGCAAGCATAAAAAAGGAACAAAACATTTTACAATTTTGCAAGTATGATTAATGAATTATGCCGGCCATTTCAAGTCACTCTAGCACCAAAATGTTTAATAATCATAGATTGTGCTGCGATGAGTAAGTGTTGTCGAGTCATGTGCAATAGCAGAGGTAAAAGATTTGCCAAACTCTTGATGATTTCAAGGCTTTTTTTTTCAATCGTATCTAGCACTAGATTTTGTGAACAATGTGCAGTCAGAAGAAAATGGCAAAAGCAATATTAGATCAGTCAAAAGGAAGTTTGAAATTTTGTTTTAAAGTTAGCCCTGCTTTGTGATTTTTTTTTTCGCAATCAGATGTTGTGTTGCAATGTACTACATAACGTGTAAAATTAGGTTACACTAATAACACACAGCTCACTTTTGGAATAGTCTCCGCAAATCAACCTAAAGTATACTTCAAAATACAATTTTTTTGCTTTTAATAACTGTAGACGATTTAAAAACGACGTTCAATTGCAGCACAAAATATCTTTAAAAAAAACAGTTAAGAAGACGACCTATCTTTGCACAAAAAAAAATCAATTATTTTTTTCACTTACATGAAATCAACTCCGCCGCATGACATATTATCTTTGATAACAGTTACAGAGTAGTGTTAACAACAGTTAACAGAGACAATTCAAAAATAAGCCACGTAATCATGTAAAATTTGGCAACTTCATCATGTCTGCCATTGCACATATCTTTACATCTTTTTCAAATTGCAGCACAATCTTTTATTCCGCAAAATAGTCACAATCCGGTACTAACCTTAAAAACTATCAATTGCCCTTTTCACCGAACTCAGTAGCTTCTGCCATTTTCTTCTAACTGCACCTTTTTTCCATATCTATTGCATTACAGCACAATGCATTATTTTCGATAACAGACATGGAGTAGGATTAACTGTTACAGACAATTCAAAAATAAGCCGCGGAATCGTGTAACATTTGACAACTTCATCACGTCTGCTAATACATTGACAGCACAACCCGAGCACATTACAGCACAATTCTAATAAATTTGTTGAAGCTAAGTCGCAGGGCCTATAGGACTTGAAAAAAGAACCTCCTCCTAAAAATTATATTTTTCGAGCAAATTCATTTTTTTCAAGCAGCACGTAATAGCACATCCTAGGCACATTTTGGCATATCTATTCTTTTTTGGAAATTATGTTATTATATTATTATGTGATCTATTTTATCCTGTTTAAATTATCAATGCTTCTTTAAAAGCTGGTCTTATTTTTGTTACAGAATTCTTTGTGTGATTAAATTTTTTTAAAGTTTTTTTTTTTAAATTCGTTTGTTTTTATTATGTAGTATAGGTTCTTACAGTGACTAAAAAATATAGACAAATTTGTTTTTCACTTGTGAATTTTTTTTTTACATTTGTACATAGCAGCATAATTATGTCGAGCACATAACGGCAGAGTTTCAATAAGTTCGATAAAGTAAGGTAGCGGAGCCAACCGGACTTAAAAAAGGACCTCCTCATAAAGTATGTGTTTTTAATAAAAAAAATTTCAAGCAGCACGTAATTTATTTTTTATTAGAAATTCAAAAATGCCGGGGTCATCATAATGGACATGGCATCCATGAGAATTACAAGGTAAAAGTGACAGTAAAAAGATTCTACTATCCTATATCATCTCGTGTGTGTCGTGAGGCAACGGATGGAAATAAAACAGGGGATGGGCAACAGCATCTTCTTGATAACAACTCAAAATGACAAAAGCTCTGCTTACTAAGCGTGACAACTATGGCAAATGATGCACTTACGAGGTATTATTTAAGAGAGGTTTGTGTTCAGCAGTGGACTTGTGATGGGCTGTAATAAATCCATGACTCCATATTTTTTGTGAGTAAGAGGCGACTTTAGTAAATTTTATAATAATTTAATAGCAAAACACCCAAACCAGTGATGGAGAGCAGCGTCATCGATGCGAGACGTTAGTTACTGACGATTAAGAAAAATCCTCTTTCATACGGGAGAGGCCCATGCTCAGCAGTGGAGTTTTAGGGCTGTTAATAATGAAACGAGCTACAGTCCATCAAACGGTCAATGATCAGCTACAGCCCATGAACCCTTGAAATCAATTTTAAACAAAAAGATTTATAGAGGCTTTGTCCTCTCTTAGAACTCAAATTAAATGTATTATCAATTTGGATTATCAACTTGCATATTATACTCCATTTTGATTCTTCAAAATTGTATTAGAAAAAGACAAAAAGAAGCACTTTACTTTTTACCATCCTGTAAAGTGTAGGATGTATACTTGTTACACCCAAAAGAAACCGTGATTTCTAAATTTTACAGATATAAATAGTATAGAAAATATATTGAATTAATCCTTATTATGGAATAGTGTAATGTTAGAGTTTTAAAAAAAAACTTAATCATCACGCCTAGATCAGGGGATGTAATTATTACAGCAAGTTTCATAGTCATGAAAGTATTGCATTTTAGCCAGTTCCTAAAACTTCTGCAAAATTTTTGAAAATTCAGACATCTGGAAGCAGTTCAAAAATGAACAAAAAAGTTCCATTACATTCAATACGTACACACATATTAACATTACACTATTGCACAGTTCAATATTACACACAGATTAACCTACTGTAAAACTTGTAAAAATAAAGTATTTAAATTTTTTATCCACCAGTCGATAAGCGGTCACTGCAGCTTATGAGCTAACAATCAAACTAAAAGAGCTGGTTGAGATTACGTTGCTATTTCGGAAGAGCAAGATAAATGTAGTTAGTCGATATATCCTTCAAATCGAGACAGAATAGTTGATGCGGTAATAAGTAAGACAGTAATAGCAACTTAGATGCAGTGTTGTTAAAAAAGGCCTCATTACACCGCTGAGATCCAAGCATTACAATTTATCCGTATTATATTAAATGTGGTTTTATTGGGGATTAATTACATAAGTTATATACGATGAACATGTTTTAAGGTTATGTACACTAATATATCGTAGGTCGGCTTAATCGGCTTATACGTATTCAATTTGCATTATTTATTAGATATTGATTAACGAACAATATTAAGCTGTACTACAAGAGCCACGGTGTCTCTTGTTATTAAATTGATTCGTCTTATTGAAAAAACGCAGTATATGATAGTCACTATGATAGTCATGGACTTAGAATATTTCTAAATCTCAATTTCTTAGAGCAATTATATAAAACGAATTGCTGTTAATTTCCATACTGTAAATTTAGTTCGCATATTCTTAGGTTAATATTATTGAAACATACGAAATATTAAACTCACTTTATAATAAGGCAGAGTAAGAATATTTATGATATTACAATTTGAATACTGAGTTCACTAAGCTATATTTGTGACAGAAATTTTAGTTTTATAATATAATTTTCCATAAAATTAAAGGTTACTGAGAGATATTACTACATACATTGTTTAGGTTGTTACTTAGATATATTTTATATTATTTTTCTTTCATTTTTCAAATTCTTCTCGTATAGCATAGCCTACAACTGGGGAAATACTTTTTTTGACTTCGCACATCTCCCTATCTTTGACCATTGAAAATAATGTTTCTAAAACGAATACCAAATTAGAAACCGTTACCGTTACAGGCTATTAAAGTACACTGCTGAACGTAGGCCATTTTTGTAATTAATCTAAGCCAGCGCTTAACTAAAATCCTACTTGATGGTGATTGGTGAAATAGCCTAAGATGGTAAAGCGCACTGACTTAACAAAACCCCGTAAACCACGTAAAACAGTCCCGTACTTGCGCTCAGCTGTGACGCACGCGTCATTTCATAGTTTAATTATCGGTACGAATGACAAATTGGTCGAGCATCATAATGTAGTGTGAGCAAAAAAATAATGTCGGATACGTTAAAGTGTTCCGTGTGTAATATCGTCATTGATGAACTGTTATGTTACATCCAGAACAAAATATCCGTGATGGATGAAGAATCATTGTTACGTTTGTGTTCTTCGGCGTTTACCTGTGCTGAGATTCAAAAGTCGAAAGCATTGTTTTTTGATGCTATACCATCGGATAAGCGAAAAATACAACGTAAAGGAGAGGGAAAAGAAAAACCTGACCTGCAGGATATTATTCAGCTTTTTAAAACTACTGAACCTGATCTGATTCCTATCTTTGTTGCAAGAGAGTTAGAAAAATTACCACCAATTACCTCTGATCATCTTGACTGTACAAAAGTACTAAAGGATATTGCAAAATTACGTTTCGATATAGACTGCATAAAGTCGACGTACACTCCGCTTGAACAGCATAAAGAGCTTGAAAGTAAAGTATTGGTAATGAAGGATATTCATCCACCGCGCATGTGTAATATGAACCCAAGGCTGAGTTTGGCTTGGGGCCTTGATAGTGGACCAATAGGTATGTCTGCTATACATAATTCCACTTTCGTTAGGTCTAAAGAGATGAAGAATACAATTATATCGTCGTCACTAATACGAGACGAAACATCACCTAGTTGTAGTCTAAGAAAGAAAGTAGACAATAATCTGTCTACCAGCCAAAGAAATAATATTGTGCACGAACGGGTATCTTTGCCGTTGTTATCGCATCAGAATACTAACCATTGTTCGCGGGTGGTTGTTCAATCTGAGTCATGCGAAACCGGTCAGAATGCTAGTATGACAAGTAAGAACGTTATAAGTAACAAAACAAACTTATTGATTAATGCTGGGGAATCACAGTGTGCTTGCGTTCGACGTAATTTCAAAAAATGAATATGAATGGCAGACAGATCAGCATAAAAAGAAACCTAACTATCGATACAGAGGTCAAGCCGCAATACGTACATCGCCAATTTTTATAACGAACATACATAAAGATACGGAAGAAAACGACATAATTAATTATATTAAAGCGAAAACACAGGAATCAGTGTCGCTAGAAAAAATTCAAATAAAAAAGGCTACCGATCACAAAGCTTATAAATTCTTTGTAGATTGTGACAAAGTACCATTGTTTCTTGATGCAAATATATGGCCGAAGTGTATAATTTTTAGAAAATTTGTACACTTCAAACTGTCAGACTCTTCAGACTCTTCTGTAAACGGCAATTTGCACTTGAACAATAAGTAAAAGACCAATAACATTTGCTAGTAATGTAAAAACGTGTAGCGCACCGTGGACAGTATTAGAGAACTCTGATGACACGCAGATTTAATTGCACTCCAGGAGACTTGGCTGTTACCGGACGAGATACCTTATCTCAGCTCGATCGATGATGGTTTTGGATCAACAGGTACTTCTGCTGTGGATACGACGAAGGGACTACTGTGCGGTCGACCTTATGGGGGAGTTGCTCTGTTATGGAGAAGTGCAGTTTTCCATGACGTAAACATGTTGCGTTGCGATAATCCTCGCTTGTGCGCGATTAAAATTGTGACGATAGATGGACCTATTATTGATATGTGTATATATGCCCACGGATTGTAAGGACAATCTACCTGATTATTCCGATTGCCTCAGTGCGGTAAGTGCTATAATAGATGAATACGATATTGACTCGTATATATATTGGGCGATTTTAACTCTCATCCTCATTCGCCATTTTTCAACGAACTTATATTATATTTTGGTGAACAAAATTGGCCTTGTATTGATACTGACTTTCTAGGTCTGTCGTCCGGCACATACACTTTTTAAACCAATCACATGGCTGTAAGCGATGGTTGGACCATTGTGTTGTAACACAATCCGCTGTGTCCTCAGTATGCAAAGTTTATGTTAAATACGACGTGATTTGGTCGGACCATTTCCCTCTTATGATCGAATGCGATTTAAAGTTATTAATACCTTTTGGTATTAATAACTTTAAATCATTATAATACACTAAGATCTTATATTAATCGCCAGATTATATGGAGAAAGAGGTCCGAACGTCAGAAAAATTTGTATAGCGATGTGTGCCATAGAAAGCTAAGGCAAATAGATTTCCCTTTGGAATTTCGGTACTGTGCTGACAAATTTTGTACAAATATAAAGCAAAGAATTGTAATTGATAAACTGTATTACGACATAGTGTCTGCCCTAAGTGAGGCCGCAATTGCTAGATGAGAGTACAGGAAACATTGGTCAAAAAAACCTGTTGTAGGATGGAACAGACATGTTAGAGAGGCTCATGGGGAGGCTAGGCAGAAATTTCATCTTTGGATGGCTAATGGACGGCCCAATTATGGAAAATTATTTAATAAAATGCGTAGCACCCGAAAGGCATTTAAATCACGCTTAAAATGGTGTCAATATCATAAGTAACAAATCAAAATAGATGAAATAGTGTCATCGCATACCAAAAAATATTTTAGTGCTTTTTGGAAAAGCACTAATAAGATGAGGATTTGGCCTGGCCTTCCCGTGAGTGTGGGCGGGGTGAATAACGCAAAGGATATTGCCAACCTCTTTAGGGAGCTTTTTTCTGTAAAGTCGACACTAGGGGCATATCCTTATGAATCGGTGCAAGATGCTGGGACAGTCATTGATGGAGTAGGGTACAGAATAAGTGTGAAAGATGTAGCATAAGCCATAAAATCTATGTCTAGAGGCAAGTCTCCAGGTCGTGATTGTCTCAGTATCGAGCATCTACAGTATGCTGGCCCACATATATACCGGGAACTGGCTATGTTCTACACTACATGTATACGGCATGCATATCTGCCCCCCTGATCTAATGAAGATTATAGTAGTACCGGTGGCAAAAACTAAAACGGGTGACTAGTCAGATAAATGTAATTATCGACCAATATCCTTGGCAACCATCATAGCAAAGATTTTAGAGAGTGTGCTTTATACGCTGTAATATAGGAAAGGTGTCAATGAAGGAGACGTGTGGTTGGTACTAAAACTTTAATTAGACTGCCTCATTATTCTACCTTAACACTAAAGTATATTAACGTGGGAGCACTACACTACACCTCCCACCGACAAAAGAATAAAAAAATATGCTATCTATATTTTTTATCAATTTTTAAAATAGATCCTCAAAATTATTCTAAAAAAGGTTAATGTCATTATGAAAACTATAATCTAAGACATATCTAGCACGCAAAAATGCATAGTCACATTAGTATAATTGACATAATCAGGCATAATTATGTATAACATAAAATTATATTTTGATTTTCACGAAAATTTACAATATTATTTATTCGTATCCTTAATCATTCTGTTATTATGCCTGCCATTTATCTAGTCAGGACAATAATGATAATATATTATATAAATTACGTGTCACGTAGTTTGTCCGCGATGGGCTCCTAACTACTCAACCGATTTTAATAAAATTCGCACACCGTGCGCAGTTTGGTCCAGCTTGAGAGATAGGATAGTTTTTTTGACCATGAGTGACTTACATATTTTTTGCAAATCTAAGGATTTTAATAGGCTATGACAAAGGGTCGTCGAAAAGAGCAGAACAACGTCTGCCTGGCTAGTAGCTATACTTACTACTGTACTACTTTAGCTATTCATTACACATGTATGTCATTTCTTTCACGTACACGGCTCGCGTATATACGTGATCAAGAAAATTACCAATATCATTTAATTCACTTCTTTACATTTCAGCTCATGTAATTCATTATTTAATTGCACCATAACTTTCACGTACATGGCTCGCGTACATACATAACAAGATAGGGGACAATATTCCTATACAATTCATAATAAATTATCATTTCCCTCATTAAAATACATTAAAACTTATTCCGCATTTAATCGTGTCCGAACAACCTTAAAAATTAATCGGCTATTAGGTTTTCTAAACTCTCAGCTGATCAGGCTGATTGTATGTGGATATACTAACCTTCAATAATTTTCTTTATCTTACTCTCGCAACTATACATTATCAATATTTTCATTTATAATTATGTATTCCGTAACTTAACCATACATTTAATCACATCTTTTACTTTATATCATAAAGTAATTTCGTATAATATTTAGTTACAGTGTCAGTCAGGGATTGAGGTTCACAATATGGACACAACAAAATTTAAATCAATTAGTTATATACATTATATAATAATTTCCAAAATCGTATTAAGCGAAGTAAATATTTTCATATTTCATAGGAATAAGAAGGTACTATTTTCCGAGAAGTTAAAACCTTATGATTTAAAAGTTCAAACAATATAAAATCAAAAATAAATTACTGCATAACATACCTAAGAAAATAAATAGAACAAAGAAATAATAACGGGAACATAAGTCATCATTACTATTATAACAACATATAAATCATAATACAAATTGTAATCTTAGCAGTGCAAGCAATTTGAGACACATTTGTTTTGAATTCCAAATTACGTATATGGAAACGTTTGCGATTACATCGAACTATGATCACACGGTATGATTCACACTTAATTTGACGATAACTTGTTCAATATGTTATAATATGAACGCAATTAAAAGTACCTTAAATGGATAGTTTTTAATATTTCCTTATTTACATAGAAGTTTAGAAGTAGTTACATTGTTAATAGTTATGTAACTACTGTATTGAAGATTGAATTTTATTATATCGTATACAGAAAATAATTGACAATCACTTTAACAGCTATTAACTTTACTCCATACAACATTGCAATGCAGTGGACGATATGAATGACAAGCTTGTGGAAACTGTCCATGCGGTTGGAGCTAAGTTCTGCAAGACCCGCCGCGGAAGAACACAAAAACTCTCCGATCACACTCTTAATCTCATGGCTGTTAGACGGGGGATGAGGCTGCAATCGTCAACAGATTTGACAGCATACAGGCAACTGAACAGACAGATCTCCAAATGCATGCGGCGAGACTTACGCAACTTTAATACTGCTCGTATTAAAGAAGCGATCGAGCGGAACCAGGGCTCCAAAGTCTTTGCCAGAGATCTGTCTGCCCGTAAGAGCCAACTGTCAAGGCTGAAGACTGAGTGTGGCAGCATCGTTTCCGGGACACCTGAGATTTTGAGTGAGATTGAGAGGTTCTATGAGCAGCTGTACACATCATCGTTGGAGCCACACGCAAGTGTGAGTAACGATCCAAGAGCAAGTCTTATCCGACACTATTCCGATGATATCCCGGACGTCAGTCTAAGCGAGATTAGAATGGCTCTCCAGCACCTTAAAAACGGCAGGGCCCCAGGCGAGGATGGAATTACAGCGGAGCTTCTGAAAGCGGGTGGAACACCGGTACTTGAAGTCCTTCAGAAGCTCTTCAATTCCGTCCTCCATGGTGGCACTACTCCAGAGGCGTGGAGCAGAAGTGCGGTGGACTTGTTCTTTAAGAAAGGCGACAACGCTCTCTTGAAGAACTACAGACCGATTTCCCTTCTGAGCCGCGTCTACGTGCTGTTTTCGAGAGTCATTACGAATCGTCTCGCACGCAGACTCGACGACGTCCAGCCTCCCGAACAAGCCGGTTTCCGAAAAGGCTTCAGTACCATAGACCACATACATACCCTGCGGCAGATTGTACAGAAGACTGAAGAGTACAAATTGCCACTTTGCCTGGCGTATGTGGACTATGAGAAAGCCTTTGATTCCGTCGAAATTTGGGCGGTGCTGCAGTCCCTTCAGCGGTGCCAAGTTGACTGTCGGTATATCGGAGTGTTGAAGTATTTGTACAGTAGGCCTACGATGGCTATCCGAGTACAGAACCAGAGTTCGAAACCTATCCAGCTGCAGAGAGGTGTAAGACAGGGTGACGTTATATCCCTGAAACTCTTCACCGCTGCTTT